GAGCAGCGCTGCTTCTCCTCTGCGTTTCTTGCGGCCTCTCGTCGCCCCACGTGCCGGTCGCCTGCTTTCTTTCTCTTCCTGCTTTACACACACTCACACACACACACACACACACACACACTCACTCACAAACTCACACTCACTCACTCACACACACACACACACACACACACAGAGGGCACTCAAACCTGCTGATATCAGAGAGTCACGACGAGTGAGGAGCTCTTTAAACCTCCTGAAGTCGTGTGCTCAGTTCTCTACTCAAACACGAGGCTTCACCTGTCTTTTCCGCAAAACAAAAGTCCAACCGCAGTCTCCACAGACAGAATTCATAAACATAAACTCAACAGCCCATGAAGTTAGGTCTGAATCCTCACGCAAATCAATAAATCCATTCACACGCGGCTCAGGTTCCTGCTTTAGGAGAGCGAGAGATTCCTGTCTGACTGACAGATGCTGAACAGATGCCGCTCGAGTCACGTGTGCAGATGAATTTACTGCTTCGTACAGCTTCAAGGAAGGAAACCCTTTACTGAACTTTATAAGAGCTAAATGAGCCTCAACACAAATTACTCCTGTAATGTGATACGTTTTTACATTTGCACTACATTTAGCAGATGCTTATATTATGTTATATTGACATTATAGTTTGATAAAGTAATTAGAACATTTATATATTAGGTGAAATACAGATTTTTAATTAGATTTCAATTATTTTCTGTCAATGTTTTTAGTAGTACATGCATAGTTATATATATATAAGCAATGTTAATTCAGCTCTTAATTTGTGTCTCAAATATGTGTCCCTGCAGCACAAAAGCAGTGTTAAGTCGCTGGGGGATATTTGTAGCAATAGCCAACAATATATTGTATGTGTCACGTGTGCCTACTGTGCTGGAGCGAGGAGACGTAGGAGATTCCAATAAAAAGAACTTTAAAGGGGTCATATGATGCGATTACAATTGTTCCTTTCTCTTTGGAGTGTTACAAGCTCTTGGTGCATAAAGAAGATCTGTAAAGTTGCAAAGACTAAAGTCTCAAATCCAAAGAGATATTCTTTATAAAAGTTCAGAGTCAGCCCCACCTACCTAAAACCGTATCACAGTATGGTGAGGGGCGTAACATTTCCGTCACACGCTTGAGGTATTCGACCAATCACAACGCACTGGATAGCTGGCCAATCACAGCACACCTCGCTTTTCAGAACGATGAGCTTTGTAAAAATCGACGTGTTTCAGAAAGGCGGGGTATAGAGGAGAAACAAGAATGTACAGTATGTGGAAAATAATGTGTTTTTCGAACCTTAAACCACATAAACTCATTTCATTACACCAAATACACCAAATAATGTTCTTTTTAGCAGCATCATATGACCCCTTTAATGAACAGAATACCAGGAAAGCACACATAGCACTGGGGTAAGACGAACAATTCTGGACAAGGTTATTTCAGAAACACAGGGTTTATATGATCAGAACGAAACAAAGAAATCAATGGGACACAGCTGGGATCAAATAAACACAATCAGTGCAGGAACAGGAAGACAAAGTAAGGACATGGAAACACATAGGGAGCAGAACACACACAAAACACGGAACAGAGTCTGACATTACTCCCCCCTCCCGGAAGGCGCGTCCTCGCGCCACACATCATCCAACAGGGAGGGGGGGTGGGCGCTCTGGAGGTGCCTCAGGACAGACACGGGACGGCAGAAACCCGGGGACTGGAGCCCTCTCTGGGCTTAACCCGGGGACTGGAGCCCTCACTGGGCTAGACTCGGGGACTGGAGCCCTCTCTGGGCTAGACTCGGGGACTGGAGCCCTCACTGGGCTAGACTCAGGGACTGGAGTTCTCTCTGGGCTAAACCCGGGGACTGGAGCCCTCACTGGGCTAGACTCAGGGACTGGAGTTCTCTCTGGGCTAAACTCGGGGACTGGAGCCCTCACTGGGCTAAACTCGGGGACTGGAGCCCTCTCTGGGCTAAACTCGGGGACTGGAGCCCTCACTAGGCTAAACTCAGGGACTGGAGCCCACTCTGGGCTAAACTCGGGGACTGGAGCCCTTACTGGGCTAAACTCGGGGACTGGAGCCCTCACTGGGCTAAATTTGGGGACTGGAGCCCTCACTGGGCTAAACTTGGGGACTGGAGCCCTCGCTGGGCTAGACGCGGGGACTGGCGCTCTGGAGTCCTCTCTGGGCTAAACCCGGGGACTGGAGCCCTCTCTGGGCTTAACCCGGGGACTGGAGCCCTCACTGGGCTAAACTCGGGGACTGGAGCCCTCACTGGGCTAAACTCGGGGACTGGAGCCCTCACTGGGCTAAACTCGGGGACTGGAGCCGACACTGGAGCAAGCTCTGGCGGACTTGACATCGGAGCGGTCGACGGAGGGGTTCCGGATCGAGATCGGAGGCTCTCCAGACACCGGATGACTGCCTCCTTCCAGTCGAGGTTGGTGGTGTCTGGGAGCTCCGTTGAGTGATGGTAAGTGACCCCGAGCCGGAATAGCGTCATGAGGGTCTCCCCATCGAGAGAGCGGGTCGAGGCTCGCCTGAGCCATGGCGATGAACATCGCTCGTTCCTCCATGTTGGCGGGGAGAAACGAAATGGAAAACAAAAGACTCATAAAACAAAAACAAAAACACAGGAGAAGGGGCGCCGCTTACTTTTCTGTTTTGGTCCGGAATTCTGTCACATGTGCCTACTGTGCTGGAGCGAGGAGACGCGGAGACGTAGGAGATTGCAATGGGACACAGCTGGGATCAAATAAACACAATCAGGGCAGGACTAGGAAGACCATATAAGGACATGGAAACACATGGGGAGCAGAACACACACAAAACACAGAACAGAGTCTGACAGTATGGGTCAAAATGATCGATTTTTCTTTTATGCCAAAAAACATTAGAATATTAAGTAAACATCATGTTCCATGAAGATATTTTGTACATTTCCTACTGTAAATATATCAAAGCTGAATTTTTGATTGCGTCAGAACTTCATTTGGACAACTTTAAAGGCGATTTTCTTGATATTTAGATTTTTTTTGCACCCTCAGATTCCAGATTTTCAAATAGTTGTATCTCAGCCAAATATTGTCCGATCCTAACAAACCATAAATCAATGGAAAGCTGATTTATTTCGAAAAAATTGACACTTAAGACTGGTTTTGTACTCTAAGGTCACATATATAAAAGAAAACTACCGATAAGAATACCATTAAAGTACTGGATCGATAAGCAGTATCGGTAAGAGTAGTAATACCGTTAAAACCTTAACGATACCCATCCCTAGAAAACATGTTTGATGCTGTATGTGTGTGAGTGTCACACAGCAGGGGTCGAGTTTAAAACGCAGCGTGACCTTTACCCTCTAATCAAGCCACAAACTCCCACACCTCCTTTGATTCATCTGTTCGTTTCAGCTATAAAAGCGGCTGATCTGCCATTTAACAAAACAAACCTCTCAACTCAACTCGCCCCGAAACGAAGCCGCCGACGCACGCTGGCGGAGAAAACCTCCGTAGATGTCAGCGACGCAAACCAGCTGTTTGAGCAAATTGAGCAAACGCTGCTGAAGCCAGACGTCAGAAGACAGGCAGCCATGTTTCTGCACATCTAACCTGTCTGTATGTCAGTGCAGCGAAAGCCTGGAGCTTACCGGGACACGCGCAGCCTCCCACCGACATCTTCTCACATCACCGTCTCCGGAGCCACGGCCGAACGCTGGAACAGAGACGATGAGATTCTCCTGCTGCTGCTGCTGCTCACATGGGCGTCTGTTTCTCACACACACACACACACACACACACAGCGTCACTGAGAGCCAGAGAGGGAGGAGAGAGAGGGAAAGGTTAAAAAAAGACCAAGCACAAAGAACTGAGAGAGCAGAGAGAGAGACAGAAGCAGAGCGAGACGCATGTAATCTCTACGCTTCTTCAATACAAATTCACGTTTCAGAGTAATCTGGTGTTTAATCAGTTTACAGGTCAAAGAAGCATCTAATCAATCGACTAATTCGGGGGTTTTAGATGCCACGGACCCCAAATATGATCATCCTCACACCCCCATCCTAAAATGTAAAAGGCATCTGTACAGTTTCTTGTATAAAGATGCAATTACACCATGAAAAATTATATTATAAATTAATCTATATCAATATTATTGGGGAAAATATTTAAGGTTGTATTATGTTACTGTTCTAATTTTATGTATTTGTTTGTTTGATCAAAATTTTATTATTTCGGATTTTTTAAATTATATTATATTATTTTTTCTTAATTCATTAAGTAAAAATTATATTTCTCGTATAGGCCTATTTATTATTATTATTGTTGTTATTATTATATTATTATATTATTTATATATATATATATATATATATATATATATATATATATATATATATATATATATATATATATATATATATGTTTTAAGCTATTACATTTTTGGGTTAATTATTTAATAACTTTTTTTTTAATCATGTTTTATTATTTAATTTTTTATAATTTTTTTTATTTACGTAGTTTAATCTAATTCTCATGTATTTGTTTATTTTTATCAATTTTAAATTAATTATTTATTTATTTATCTTATTATTTATTTTAGTCTATTTTACTTGTTATATATTTTTATTTACTTATTTAATGACTTATTTATTTTACATTTTTATTATTTAATTATTTATTTAAAAAAATTACTTAATCATATTTTGTTTTTGTTTATTTTTATGGATTTTTAAAATTACTTATGAATGTATTTTTAATATTGATTTAAAATGTTTTATTTAATTATTTAACAACTTATTTTTTATTTTATTTATCTTATTTTTTATTGTTTAATTATTTGCACATTTTTACACCACTTTACTCAAAACTCTTCCACGGACTTTCGCTGCCCCCTAATTCTTAATGCATGTGATCTAATTAATTTCCTAGTATGCTGATTAATTAATCCAATGAATCAATTAAACTGCATACCAATATTTTCCACAAAATGACGATAATTCAAAAACATTATTATGGCAAAGTATATCAGTGGACAGACAAGAAGTGTCTTCAGAAGTCAATATAATGTTCATACATCACTGAAAAGTCACAGACGAAAGTGTCCTGAATGAACCGAATTCAGTGTAAAGTTAACAGAAATCAGCTCAATACCACTTTTACGAAGCATATTTAGTTTGACTTTTAGACAGTCATAATCGCCATTGTTGATTTAGAAAAATCAGTGATCTACACACTCTTTGATCTTATATTTTAGAGTCGATTATTTCTCCTCTGAGGTTTTTTGAGGCAATGCTGCTCTCGCTCAGACAAAATACCTCTGGCTCTGTTCCAAATCCTAGTGAGCTGCCTATAGAGGCGGCATTGTAAGGCATTGTAAAGCACAGTCATGTTGCCCTCTAAGATGCCTTCTTTTGCTCACATGAAAGCAGCTCGTCACACTAGACTCCATTCACTTCTATTCATACGCACATGAACACAGGACACTCGAAACACAAGCTCATGCTAAGAAAGGTCTTCGTCTGTAATGCCTCAGCACTGATGAACTCTGACCTGTAGATTCTCAACATCAGAGCATCAGAGGATCTAAACGTCACAGATTGACAAAGAACACAAACACATTTAACAGCCTCATATATAATACAACATAATGAATTTAATACCAAAAGATTACCAAAATACAATCTTTTTTATTATTTAATTTATAAATGTTAGTTACTAAATAAATTTTTGTTGTACTTTTTATTATTTTTAATTGTTTATAAATTTTTTGTTTATTTACGGATTTTAATCTAATTTTTATGTATTTGTTTATTTTTATAATATTTTGTAATTAATTAGACATTTAATTTATTTGTATTACTTATTAATTTGTGTTAATATATTGTTATTTATTTATTTATTATACATTTATTTATTTACTAAATAATATTTTTATTTTATTTAATTGTTTTGTATATTTTCTACACTGTTTTTCTCAAAACTTTTCCCCAGACCCCTAATTCCTAATTCATTTGATCTAAAAAACTTTGTTTATTTCCAGTTTTAAATTAGATTTTGAATCCCAGATCTTCAATGTGGTCTCAGACTTTGTATATGTGCTCTCCACTGTATATAGTCAAGTATTATATATATATATATATTTAAATTGGAAAAAAGCTGGTAAATAAATCAGGCTGGTGGCATTGGGCATTCAGCAAAAATAAAAATATTAAATTGAAAATAATAAACCACAAAGTTAACAAAATGATGCACTCCACTATATATATATATATATATATATATATATATATATATATATATATTTGTTTTTATTATTTTATACAATACTTACATAAATACTTAATATATAAATAATAAAAACAAATATCTCAGTGTTGTCGGCATTCACCAGCCACTAGGGTAATAAATAAATAAATAAATAAATAAATATATACTAAAAATTTACTAATAAGGAAATATGTATTATTTTTAAATAAATATATTCTAAAAATATTAAAATGAATTATTATGCTCAAAACATTTAATTTTCCACCGTGCCAGTATAACAGCAGTCTCTCAGCTCCTCCGTCTGTGGGTCTCTCAGTGCTGCTGGAATGGAGCTCATTACAGAGAGAGAGAGACAGCAGTGGGGGGGGGGGGGGCACACGCCACCATAGGAAGGTGGC